AAACTCTTAGCTTTAAAATTAAACAACTCAAATTCTATTAGCTGACTGTGTAGATGCACATAGCTAATGTCTACCTTACTAGCAATAAAACTGGCATCCATCTAATGATGAAGCATATTGTTTTCTCTAGCCCGGAATGTGGAAGGAGACACGCCCTTGCTTTTGCAATATATCTGATTATGCATGAAAGTCCAGATGCTAGATGATGGTAATCAGAAACACTAAGTGAATGAATCCTAGCCTTACTGAATTTGTTATTAAATAAGATGGGGAATGAAACAAATTCTAGCTTGAATTTCTAAGTAAGTCTTAACTGTACTAAAAAAAAATCAGTAAATATAAATAATATCCCAAAACTCAAATATTTAGCTCTTAAAATACTATGAGATATTTTAAAACATAACAATAGCATTTCTACATTCGTTAGTATAAAACCAATATTAATCACAGTTAAGTTTTTTGATGAAAATAAAGGTTTTTGAAGATTTATATGACTGTAACTTCATGACAGTATATCCTATGTGCCTAACTATGAAGTAAATAATTATCTGTTGTAAATGAGGCAACTAACTTGCCCAAGGTCATAAAGCCAGCAGGTGGCCTGGTCCAAGTTCTAGAAGCCATTGGTTATTTAAATTATAGAGCTTCACGAGTGAATGAGAACACTAAAACCTGGTGGATTAAGGGATTAAAAGAAGACACCATGGTTATTCACTACTGTCCAATTTTCTACATTAATTATCTCCAATTCTTCCTCTTCATTCTCTCCTGAACCCAATCTAACCAGATTACTGATCTCACTAATTTACTGAAATAGCTCTTTGCTGAGGAAGCCAAAGACCTCCACACTGTTAAATCCAAACAATTGTCAGAATCATCTTATTTGAATTATCATCATCATTTTAACCAGCTAATCAGTTTCTCCTCTTTGGGATACTGTCTCCACTTGATTTGAAAGACAGCACCTTCCTTGGTTTGCCTTCTGTCTCACTAGTTGCTCCTTCCCATCTTCTTTGCTGGTCCCTCTTGATTGACCTGACAACATTTGGATCCCCAAAGCTTAGCTCCCAGACCTCTTCTCTTTTGCATTCATTCTCTTGTGTGAACTCATCCAGTTATATGGTTTCCAATTATCTTCTAAGTAATTAATATTTCTGGCCCAAACTATTATGGTTTGGATGTAAGGTATCCCCCAAAAGCTCATATGTGAGACAACGCAAGAAGGTTCAGAGGAAAAACTATTGGGTTGTGAGAGTCTTAACTCAATCAATGAATTAATCCCCTGATAGGGATTAACTAAGTGGTAACCAAAGTGGTAGGGTGTGGATGAAGGAGGTGGGAATTGGGGTATGGCTTTGGTGTATATATTTGTTTCTGGAGAGTGGAGTCTCTCTCTGCTTTCTGATCATGATATGAGCTGCTTCCTTCCACCACACTGTCCCACAAGGATGTTCAGCCTCACCTGAAGCTATGAGGAATAGAACCTGCTGTCTATGGATTAAGACCTCTGAAACCATGAGCCCTCGAATAAACCTCTTTTCGTCTACAGTTGTTCTGGTTGGGTCCTTTTAGTCATAGCAGGAAAAAAAAAAAAAAAAACCTGACTAAAACATAAACTTTCATGCTTGAACTCCAGACCTAAAAAACCAAATAGTTATATGCCATCTCCACTTCAATGCTTAACAGACACAATAAATTTGGCATGTTCAAACCCCAAATTCCTGATTTTCCCTCAACTAGATTCCTATTCCATACTTCCCCAACTCAATAAATGGCAACTGCATCCTTCAGGTTATTGAAGCCAAAATCTTAGAACTGACTTCAATTGTTCGTTCTCTCTCTCTCTCTCTCTCTCTCTCTCTCTCTCTCTCACACACACACACACACACACACACACACACACACACATCCCACTTTCAAACCATCAGGAAAATCTGTCACTTCTTTGTTCACATTAAATCCAGAATCTGACCACTTGTACCACCCATGTCTATTCTACATACTATATCACAATTATTCCTTATTCCTCCAAGTAATTGGCACCTTATAGACTATCTTGAACACAATAAAGTGCTCATTTTGAAATTTAACTCAACTCACACATCTCTTCTTTTCAATGTCACCCCTCTCAATTGGGCCCACAACTTACTTATAAGTAAAAGCCAAAATCTTTATAGTGGCCTATAAGGCCCTACATGATCTTCTTCTACCACTTATGACTCTGATCTCCTCTCCTCTTACTGTTCTCCTCCATCACTCTGCTCCAGCCACAATGGCTGCCTTGCTGTTCCCAAAACACTAAGCAAGCTCCTGCCTCAAGGCCTTTGCACTTATCTCTGCTCTCCCTTGAATGCACCACCAGCAATGCTATGTTCTGAATAGCTGAATCCCTCCAAAATTCCTCTGTTGAAACCTAACTTCCAATATATTACTATGAAGTGGCATTTGAAGGGTGATTAGGCCATAAGGTTGGAGCCCTTATGCATGGGATTAGTGCACTTACTTATAAAAGAAGTCCTAAAGAACTGCCTCACATCTTAGTGATGTAAGGGCACAATAAGAAGGTGCCATCTATAAACCAGAAGGCATTCATCAGACACAGAATCTGCCAGCACCTTGGTCTTCCTCTTCCCAGCCTCCAGAACTATGAAAAATGTCTGTTGTTGAAAGCTATCCAATTTATGGTAGTTTGTTATAAAAGCCCCTCAAAACTAGACTTACCTTCTCTGACCATATACTTAATATTTACCTGTTTTTCATTCTTACTAAGTGTTTTCCTAAGTTTCATGAGGTCAGGAGTACTGCTTTATATAAAGGACTACTCTTAGAGTTTAAAAATTCAGCAGGCACCAAATAAATCTCTGTTGAAGATTGGTAAGTGCATAGAATCAAGTCTCCACTATCCTATCTACTTTGTCCTGTTCCCAAATGTCTGTGTAGTTACCAAGAGACCTCTTAGCTAAGGCTTGAAAGTTATACATTAAAGACCTTAAACAGGCTGCATTTGTCTCTACCAAATGTCTGGTCCCTGAAAGATTTCCAAGAAAAGTTAAGACATTATTATTACTGTGTGTATATATGTGAATGCATGACCAATGTGATTCTGCAACCTGTATAATCAGAAAAATGAGATATTATATCCCATCTGATTCAAATGTATGATATGTCAAAGGTCGTTGTAGTGTCATGTGTAACTAATTAAAACAAATTAAAAAGAAAAAGAAAAGTTAATTCAAATAAGGAATTTGTTCTAATCAATTTCTCTGATTAAAAGTTCCTTCTCACTTTCTGTCCAATTTCAACATAGTTGGAGAGAGAAACACAAATTAAAATAATTTTCTAAATTATTCTTTTCAATTCTACCTCGACAAAGAATCTTTTCCATTATCAATGCTTCTTTACTTCCCCATGTTTGCTCATACATTCAAGTGCTCTGGTTGTTCATACTGCTGAAGTAACTGAAAATTAAGCTGCATGAAATTATAAATGAAAATTATGAGAGTGCACATGCAATGCTGGATTACACAGTTGGAAATTTTAAGCTCCTACTACTAAAATTTTGTATACCTTAATCTCCAAGAATAACTGGAAAGCATCTTCAAGATTTTTTAAAATTAGGTTATGTATAAGCTACAGAATTTACCAATAAATTCTAAATAATTATTCTCTATATTAAAGGACTTCTCAAAAATTAGTCTTCAAACTTAGCTTAACTAATTATTGTTACACATATGGCATCGTCATTTACTTTAAAATGACAAATATTTTGGAGCAGGAAATGGCACCAGATGACACTTCATAGTATTACAAAATTGTTTGCAGATTAGAATTTTAAGAGTAAAATACTTGTTCTTTATAACTCTCAAAAATAAAAATTGTTAAACTCATGGTGCCATGGCAACCTAGCAATTTTAGATTCAATAATGGGATGAAAATGCAATGCTGAAAAATTAAATTTCCATTTAATTGTTTGATTTAAATGAAAAATTAAATTTCCATTTAAAAGTTCAACAGTTCACCCAAACTTTTAGTAATCTAGGGGGGGAATGTGCATTTCATCTAGTTATGTTAAGTTCATCTTGAATGACAACTGTTGGTAAATTTCCTTTTTTCCCCCTGCTCGCATAACTATTTAAAGCATTGTATAAAGGACTAAAAGGAGATTGTGTGAAATTCTTTCTCTCTCCACAATTCTGAAGTCAGTGAAAAGTCATCTTTTTCTTGGCACAAAGTTTCATGTAGACTGAATAATTACCTTCACTCTACCACCTTAGATGGTAGAAATAAAGGGCAACAAACGGATTTCACAAGTTAACTTCTCAAGCTAAACAAAAGGAAACCAAAGGAAAGGCAAAGTAACAGATTCTGCGTTAATAGTTGGGCATCTCTTCCAGCAGCACCCCAAGTAATCTACTGCCTTGAAAGTTTCATGGCTTCTCCTGTGAGTCCCAGGACCAACCTGGTGGAGGCTTCAATTCCTCCAGATTTCTAAACTGTGATATGAACCCCTATCCAACAGGCGGAAAAGATTACAAAGTACAGTGCAAAATAAAACAAACAACAACAAAAAATACACTTCTGCAATACAAACACTGGCCAAAATGCGAGCCTATGTTTCTCAGAAAGGAAGAGGAAAGGAGGCAGATGAGATAAGAATAAAAACCTCTACCCGCACCACTTTTCCTTCTTCCTCCTGTGGGAATGGGGGCGGGGAGAGGATCATACCTAGAATGCCAAAGCAAAGAGGAGGTATCACCACCGTCCAGCCTGTCACTGAGACCGGAACTTGAGAAGTTGGAGCGAGGGTGAGAAACTGGGAAAGTGAACGAAACCCTTGCCAAGCTACAGTTACGAGGAGACGCCGGTGAATCGGGCTGAGGATGGCAGCAGAGCCCGGAGTGAGCACATCCAGCCCCCGGTACCCGGCTCCCTCGGAGGAACAGGATCAGAGTCCGCCTCCGCGCGCCTGTCCGCCCGGACCCGCGCGCTTTCGCTCTTACCTGCTGCACCCCGAGGAACTGGTAGAAGTTGAGCTGCACCTCCTCCACCAAGTCAAACAACTCTAGATCGCCGCTCTCCCAGCCGCGCGCCGGCACCGCGGCCGCTAGCAGCAGCAGCAGCGGCAGCAGCAGCCGGCACCGCGGCAACGGGGGCGAGAACCACACGAGCCTGCGGCGCTGAGGAACCCGCCCCAGTCCGGAGCAGGGAGCAGACATCGCTCTGGGCTCAGAAAGGTCACCCGCCACGCAGTGCCGTCGGCCGAGACCCAAGACGTGGCGGGCAGCTCCGGCTGTGGGAGCGGTGCCTGTCAGTCAGAAGAGCGGCAGCCTCTCGAGAGTCACCAGCCAGGCGGCCGGCGCCAGCTGGAGCGCTGGGACTGTGGGAGCAGACGGCCGGACCCGCGGGTGCGCGGACGGGGCCGCAGCCGGCTCTCCCTTCCGGGGACCCTCACCCCCAGGCCTACAAACAGCTGGAGAGCCAGCGCCAGGGCGCCGAGGTTTCAGAGGGGGAGAGGCTTCCCCTCGCCTCAGCCTATCGCAGGCCTCGCTTCCGGTGACATCACGTTTCCTAGCAACTGCGGGGAGGGGCGGGGCCGGAAGTAAGGACGCTAAGCGCCCCAGATCTAGGCCTCGGAGAGTTGTCTCTGGTGCTCGCTCTGGCGCTCAGCTAGGAACTGTAAAGTGTGTTTACACAGGGTTTTTAAAAGACTGAACGGTTAGACATCACGCATCCATCAGGAAGATCCCACCTGTAGGTTTCCGTTTTGCCCTCCCCTATTGAACACTAAAAGCATAAATGAAGCCTGATATATCGATTTTGTAGCTTTTATTCCATACAGGACAGGTAGGAGGAATTGAACCAATACCTAAAACAGGAAACAAACGTAGTCAGCAGTCTACAGTTTTGTTGTTGTTGTTTCATCCCCAGTCTTTTTCTTTTCTTTCCTTTTCTTTTTCTTTTTTTTTTTTTTTTTAAACCGGTCTCCTTGACTTGCTTAGAGTCTCACTAAGTTGCTGAGGTAGCTTCCAATCTGCCATCCTCCTGCCTCAGCCTCCACAGCTGCTAGGATCACAGATGTGCGCCACGACACCAGTCTTAGGGTATCTTTTTGAGAGAAGAAACAGAAAAGGAATCCTAACCAAGACAAAAAAGTATAGCTTGAATTATGAATTAATATTTACCAGCATAACACCATAAAATAGGCAATTAGGAGAATTCACAATGGTGACTCAATCATAGTCTCAGAAGTGTAGTTTATCCACTTTGGGGTTCTTTTCTTGATTGAGAAAAGAAAGACACCTAGGGCTAAAAACCTCTTTTTTTCCATAACAATGTCTCACCTTCTGGTCTTGTGTTGTTTCTGTTCAATGCCTTTTAAATATTTTTCCTCCACCACTATTGTTCTCTTATGTAAACTTTATTTCATTTTACCTTTCTCACATTTCTCCTCTCTCATTTCCTACTGTTATCGAAAAAGTAAGTGCAAACAAACAAACAAAAATGCTTGCTTAAGTTGAAGTGCTTGAGTTAGATAAATTTGGCCTCTTGCTTTTTCACTTCTTGGGTCTGGCCTTTTAAATCGAGCTCAACAGGGTTGTTGTTATAGTTGTTGTTGTTGCTGTTGTTATTATTATTATTAGGTATTGGGGACTGAACTCAGGGGCACTTGAGCACTGAGCCACATCCCAGCCCTATTTTGTATTTTATCTAGAGACATCTCACTGAGTTGCTTAGTGCCTTGCTTTTACTGAGGCTGGCTTTGAACTCATGACCTCTGCCTCCTGAGCTGCTGGAATTACAGGCATGTGCCACTGTGCTATCCTCAACAGGATGATTATAAACCTACTTTTGCTTTCATAGTAAGAATATATTATGTTTGATAAAAGTTAAAGACTATTAGGTTGTAAATCTTAGGACTTAGCACAGAGTTTGAAAATATTTTTAAATGTTATAGACAAATGCAAGTATATCTTGCTTTAAAATAATACATAGGCTTGAATTCACCACATTTTAATCTATCATGAAGTTGGCCTTTCAAAAATGCCAGAACAGGAGTGTCTAAGTCTGCTGTAGCTGCTATAACAAAATACTTTAGACTGAGTGACTTACACAACAGTATTTCATACAGTTCTGAAATTTGGGAAGTCCCAGATCATGGTGCCAGCATGCCCAGGTTGTGGTAAAGAGCCCCTGTTTCTCAGTTGGCTGCCTTCTTGTTATATCCCCACATGGCCAGGAAGAGTGAGGGGTACAGAGACATCACATATTTCATATAAAAAGGCACTAATTCTTCATAAACTCCTCTAAACCATCCAAGAACCCCACCTCCAAATTCCATGTCATTGGAGATTAGGGCTTCAGCATATGACTTTCAGGAGGACACAACATTTAATTCATAGTAAGAGATACTACCTTGTCTGTGTATCTCCAGTACTGAGCATAATGTATAGTACCTGACAGTAACCAATTAGCTGAATTGAATCCTGCAAATACCTGCTACCACATTTTCCTTACTATGATTTTTAGGTTTTTTTTTTCTTGTGATATATCAGTTTTCTTAAAGGAAAAGTCATCTTCACCAAGTCCCTAAATAAACATCAAAATAATCTGAAAACTATGGTGTTAAGCATTACTTTTATGTAACATCCTAGCATCCATATTTTCTTATTTAATCATCAGATGAAATGCAACATAACATTTGAAACTGGTACCATATTGCCACAAATCCAGGAATCTTACCCTGATCTTTTGGGAGCTATTATTTCCCTCTTGATCTGTAACCTTATATTGTCAAAGAGATGCCAGGGATGTATTCTATCTACACGGAGACCATCCCTTTTTAGGGCTAAGCAGACACAGAATTGACATCTCTTCAGTATAGTGCTTCTCACTGACATAAGGTATTGCTCTTGAAGATTCATTTTCCTCAGGTAAAATAACACTAGTCCACTCTGAGATGATGTACTTGCTGGACCAGGACCCTGCCAAAATCACAGTGACATTCATGTTATAAACTCTTAGTTTGGCATCTTCACATACTAGTCATTATGCCACAAGGAACTATGCATTAAGTGACTCTTCTTTTGCTAATGCCTAAACTTAATGAACTGATCACCATGAGCTGTTTTCTTCACCTGTCACATCCACCAATTCTGGCCCCTGTCCCATCAAGCTTGTTCTGGGTAGAAAAAAAAAGAAACCAGAAAAACATTCATAGTCATGTGAGTTGTGTAATGGATTGGAAACATAGGAAGGCCCAAACATACAACCAGTTTTCCCACAAGACATTTGGTGAGGAAGTTAAGAGGCTGGGCCTAATAACTAGAATAAAATCACCCCACATTCTACCAGCATGTAGAACTAACTCTACCAGAAGGAAGAATCTGTCTCAAATACACAGGTATTCTCTCCACTCAAGACATTTGCAATTATTTTTGAAGTTGTATGAATAGGAGGCTAACAAAGTTTAAAACCTCTCAAAGACAGAACTGAATCTCCGGAACAGAGGAGACAGTCACCTTCCTGGTTCTCAATTGAAATCTCAGAGGAATCACATATGAAGAATAGAGAGAAACCACAAGTAGATAAAGTCTTACTGCAACCCAGTCCCAACCCACTGCATCCCTAATTGAACTGAGGTAAACAGACTTTCAACCCATTTGTCTCTTTCCATTTCTACAGAGAAATAATACCTATATTGTCTATAGTTTTTTATTTAAAAATGTGGCATGTAAAAAATTATGAGACATGAAAAGAACAGGAAAATTTTGTCCAATAATGAGGAGAAAAAACAGATAACAGATGACCCACAGATAAGTCAGATCAACTGGAGTCTGACTTTAAGAACTGTAAAATAACTAACATGGAATAAAGCAATAGATTGTAAAATTGAAGAAAAAATGGACAAATGGATTAAAAGGGACAGAATTTTATTAGAATCCATAAAAAGAATCAATGGAAAAATTCAAAATTTAAAAATATAGTATCTGAAATCAAGAATTCAATGAGTGAAAACAACAGAATACCTAAAGTTGAAATGCAGAAACACCTAAACTGAAGCACAGAAAGAAAAAAGAATGGAGAGAACAAAATAGAGTTTTAAAAAGTGCTCAACATATAATCCAACATAGGTATAACTGGAGTCCTAGAAAAAGAGGTAAGAGAGAATGAGGCAGAAGCAATAGTTCAAAAGGGAATAGCCAAGAATCATAGAAGGAATGAAAGACACAAAACAACAGGTTAAAAAAAATAACTTAAAATTAATCATAGACCTCAATGTAAGAGTTAAAACTATAAAGCTCTTATAAGAGAAAACAGAAGTAAATCTCAGTGACCTTGGGTTAGCCAACAATTCCTTAGATATGACACCAAGTACATAAATGATACAATTTTTTAAAAAAGACAAACCGAACCACAAAGAAATTTAAAATGTTTGTGTTACAGTCAGTACTATCAAGGAAAGGAAAAGATAATTGACAAAATGTTTGTAAATCACCTACCTAATCAGGTACTTACACCCAGAATATATAAAGAATCCTTACAACAAAAAGACAAATAACTTCATTTTTTAAATGAGAATTTGAATAGATATTTCTTCAAAGAAGATATACAAATGGCTGATAATTACAAAACTATGATCAACATCTTTAGTCATTAGGAAAACATAAGACAAAACTACAGTGAGATATCAGTTTACATCCATTAGAATGGCTATAAAAAAAAAGACAATAAAAAGTGTCAGTGAACACGTGGTGAAAATGGAACCTTCCTACATGGTGGGAATGCAAAATGTGGCAGCACCTTTGGAATATGGTTTGGCAGTGTCTCAAAAAGCTAAGTATATAGTTACTATATAACCCAACAATTCCTTTTTCAAGGAAAGGAAAATATATGACCACACAAAAACTTTTACACAAATGTTTATAACAACATTATTCACAATAACCAAAGGTTGAAAATAACCCAAATAAATACCCATTAGCTAATAAACAGATAAACAAAATATTATATTCATATAATAGGATTGTTATTATTCCGATTGATTATTATTCAGCAATAAAACGAAATGCTTTGCCACAGATGAGCCTTGAAAAAATTATACCAAGTGAAAAAAGCCAGTCACAAAAGATCACATATTATATGATTCCATTTAAATGAAATGTTCAGAATAGTCAAACTTAGAAAGTAGATTAGTGGTTACTTAGGGTTGGTGGTAGGGGAAGTTACAGATTGATTACAAATAGGAAAGGGATTTATTTTGAGGGTTATGAAAGTGTTCTAAAATTAGATTGTGGTGATGGTTGCATAACTTTTGTACAGAAACTAAAAGATATTGGTTTATTTAAAAATGGATGAATTGTGTGGTATGTCCAATATTTCTCACTAAGAGCTATTTGAAAAAGAGAAAGAAAAAATCAGCCACACAGAGTAAGCTCAGCAAACCTAAAGTAGGATAAACACAACAAAACAAACTTAAGCATCTATCATAATTAAACTGTAGAAAAA